TTGAAGTTGTTATTGCAAATGAAACCAAAGACTTGTTGTCTTATTTTTGCTTTAGAGTGCTCCTGACCAAGAGTTAGGGCAAGCCAAATTTTTCATTATGCTCTGTGGCATACAGCAACTTTTTCTTGAGTATTTTTTTACTGCTGTATCTGGGGAGGAACAAAATGTGGCTGCAGGTATTAGCAAAAGGATAGAGCTCATCTGGATTTTCTGCTTCAGCATCTGCAATAGAAAATTTAAAATGTTCCAATCCGTAGCCAGGGATTTGATCAGATCCTGACAAAAAAGCTGAAGGAAGGGGAAAAAGAAAAACAAGTTAGCAAATTAAAAAACAAACACAAGATAATATCAGAGGATGAAAATCATGAGGGAAAATTAGTGTAAAAATATGGCTATTTCCATAAGCTAATTATTTTGCTTTGTTGAAACTATACCGGAATATAATAAAGTCTCTTGCTGATTCGTGATAATTATAAGCCCTCTTTTACTTATATAGACTTTGTGGCTGAGAAAGCCCAGGCTAGGTTTGACCTTCCACATTTAAAAAGGATGAGCCAGCTCCTGCGATCCTTTGAGAAAGCTAAACTGCTTATGTCAACATAGCCTGCTCACACAAGTTAAGGCGTCTGACCCAACAACTGATAACCACAAAAGGAAGGGATAAAGTAATTGCAAGGTTCAAGGCGGTCAAGGGATGTGAGGAGGGTCAGAGCTGTGTCTGTGCAATTCTTTGTGGCTTTCACTAGAAAATGTGGCGGGGGGAACATGTTAAAAAGCCATTTGGAACTACAGTATTTTCATATGCAAGCATCTAAAATGTGCGTTGTGGGGGAGAAAAAGGGCCATGAAAAGTTTTAAATGCCTGATATATTACCAAGAAACTTTTTCTTTTTGTCTTCTGGGAGTTCATGAAACACAGTCCAGAAATTCCTGATGGTTCGATCTAACTTTTTATACTGTCTGTACGTCACATTCTGTTGAAGAGATAAAAACAAAACAGGCCAGTTAATCCTCACTATTTCCATTTTTATTTAAAGCAACAACAGTTTATCCGATAAATTTTATAATCCTGTTCACAGATACTCAAATCCTCTTAACCTCCGGAATCTGCTTGTTCATTTGTTTTTCAAAGATTCATATGACAATCCTTGAGCTACAACTTGATTTTTAGTCCCCTTTATTCTTGTACCTGATGTAGATCAGAAACAGACTCAAACCAGCGACACAAGTCAAAAAAAGAGAAAGTCCCTTGAGCTTCTCTTTTCTGTTCATAACCTACACACTCAATGAAAGAACAGGTCAGAAGGAGTTTATGCTCAGCACAGATAGCAGAAGTACACTGTGCTTGTATCCAATACCTTTTCCAGCAGATGCCAGTCAACTTTTGTGTGTCCCTGGAGAACAATCTGGAGCTCTGCAGGGAGAAACATCTTCCACTTCCTAGCCGGGCAGCCTCTTAAAAACCCTTGCATGAAGTCCTGAAATGGCTTCCGTACCGATTCATTGAACACATAATTCACATACAAGTCAACAAATTCTTTCCTGCAAAGATATTTTGAATCCATCAAGCAATGCAATAGGTGCTTTTTTAAAAGGAGAATTATAGAGAACTTTATTTCTTATTCCTTTATTCCGTATGACCTGCTCTACTGTAAAGACTCAGTCTTTACCAAGAGCAGTCATCACTGGCAATTATTTATTCACTGAATAAGCTGGGAGGATCATCACAAATAGAAGAGAATGCTGGCCAACATGGATTTATTTTGATAATACTCCTTGTACTTCATGTGAACGCTCCAATGAAATCCTATCAGACACTTCACTATTAAGATGGAACCTAGCAGACCTAAATGGTGTAAATTCAGCAAAACTCCACCGAATGCCCAAGAATTACCCTGAAATCAAAATAAATATTCGCACAGCTGCTAATCAGTACAGTTTCACTCTTCTCTCTACTGTGATGGGGATTTGTTTAGTGACATTGTACTTGTACAATCAACTCAATGTAAATGCTATACGTCAAGCTTCCTAAACAGACCTTTCATGCATCCCTATGGGTCCTCAGATCATCTGCATAGCTCAGGCCACAGAATTTCTCTCTGTCCCCTGTGCTGAGGTTAATATTGCCACAATACCTTATTGATAGATTGCTCCTTCTCTGTTACATACAAGATACTTACAAGATAAGTAAGCAGGAAACATTTTGCTCGTTAAAAAAAAACTTAGAGAGGTGTACCTATAGCTGGATTTCCCAGACAAGTTGTCTGTATTTCCCTGAAAATATTGTTCAAGGGTATTTTATACATTTGTTAAGAACTTCCCGGATAAGGCCAGGCATCTCTGTATATGCAGATGCCAAGATGTCCAAGGATCCCCTTCTTATTCACTGATTGAACAAACTGCCAATGTCTGGTATGTGTGTAGCACATACAAGAACTGAAAGCATACAACCTATTGGACCAAGACCAACAGCACAAAGCTGATGTTCAATATTTTCTAAGAGTATATGGGGATGGGTATAGATATGGTATTTCATACACTCATAACAAGACAACAAGATAAGAAAAAAAAAAAGAAAACCAACCTGTTACCCTTTGTGACAGGAATGTTGGCACCATTTTTTTTAAGTTCAACAGCAACCATGGAATCTCCCTCTTCCATTATCTACGCAAATAAATGAAAACATTGGATGCTATATCTATATATGACAGATATATATGTGCTACATCTATCATTCTTTCTTTCTGCAGGGCCTGACATAGCACTTTTATTAGTTTGAGTTTACAGGGCCTGACATAGCACTTTTACCAGTTTACAGACAAGTTGTGTCATTTGCAGTGGGACACTGTCTTGCCTGGGTACATGCATGGCATGTCTGGATGGCACAATGTCTCACCATGAAGTTCAGGTCCAGGCTCTCAAGGATATGATCACATTCTTCATCCAAAATTCCCTGAAGATTCCTTTCGAAAAACAAAAGGGAAAAAAGAGAGAAGAAATATGATCATTCAAGGCACTTTCAAATTCTGCTGAAAACCATCCTTTGACAAGCAGTATTTGAATGCATATACATACAAACACCTATACTCACAAAGAACCTTCATATATGGCCCTAAACTGATCTATGCACTTATGTCCTGCTGCTGCCACGAGCTGAGGGCAAATGCCTTCACCGTGAAGGATTCCAGGCAAGTCCTTCCCCACACTGTGTGGGGATAACTTTACACAGACTTCAGTGGCGAGTGGGCTTGGACCACAGCCTTGTTCTTCCAGATATCATCTAGTGAGGAATTAAGTGTGGACCAGTGGGATGATCTGGGAGAACCATTTTGGGGTGCAGCACCTCTCAGAGAGTATTGCAGGCAACCTGATGTTTCAGTCCACTGAGGGCTCTCTTGTACCTCAACACAGTCACTGGCTTGTGGGAAGGGGTTCTCATTTTCTTGGCTGTTTATAGCACTTGAGTGGAAAGCTGAGCTTCAGCAGCCTAGAAGCTTTATGCTGGTGGCAGCAGCACCTCTCCCTGCCCTATCTGCCTGAAATCTCCTTTCCCAGCGGCTGGAAACCCTGCGTGCAGGTTCTCAGATTTGGCACAACTGCAGCCTATGGTGATACTGCGCTTGTGCAAAACAACATTGTGGAAACTGCTAATTAGTAAATTGGAGAAAAAAACAACATTAGTAATTGGATGCTTAGTTCTTGCAAGTCCGAACTACAGCTCGAAGTGTTTTGAACTACATATTCACAGTGTGGACTTGAGCTCACACGGAGCAGAAATCTGACCCCTTCTAAGCCACGGGGCTCGGCTCTCTATTTTGGCGATGCCAGCCTCTCTTCGAGAGCAAGGCCCATGCCCTGGACAAGGACCACCTTGGAAATCTGCGGCTTTTAGCAGCTCCGCAATGGCAAATGCAGCTGCCGGGGGTACGACAAACAGGGCCCTGGGGATCTCCGTGCACATCGTCAAGCTAGGAGACCCGCTTCGGCCGTAGCTTCCCAGCAAAAGCTCAGGCCGTGGCCGGCTCGTACCGGCCTGCGGCGGGCAACAGCTCCTCGAGGTCCTCCAGGGTGGGCGTCAGGCCCAGCAGCTTTTTGTAGAGCGCCCTGGGGAAGGGGAAGGGCGCCATGCACCCGTTATACAGGGCCATTCCGCACAGCATCCCGATCCGGAAGAAGGTGTGCTCGCAGCTCGAGGCCTGGTTACAAAAAAGAATATAAAAAGAAAAGAAAGAAAGCCGTGACTGCCTTTTACCCGGGAGCAGGCTCCCCACCTCCGCGGGGCTGCTGCGGCCGCCCGGCCGGTCCCTCACCTGGCTGTGGAACCACGCGAGGCCGGAGGCCAGGCGGCGGAAGGCCCCGGTGCTGGGCTGGCAGAGGGTCCTGGCGGCGACGCTGAAGAGCTCCTGGGACGGCCCGCCTTCGTCCCGTCCCGTCTCGCCCACGAACGACACCTGCGAGCCCCAAGACACCCATAGCGCCGGGGAGAGCGGCACCGGCACCGGCGGCGGAGAGCGGAACCACCGTGCGCGTTAGCGCAGCCCGGGGCAGGTTGGCGGGGCCGCCGGAAGCGGGGGGC